TGATGATTTCTTTAGAGTGCTGTTGATTAAATTCAAATTTAATGTAACTGATCAAAGAAATAAATAGCCAATGCAATTTTAACATCCTTTTGGAGTGGTAAGTTATTTAGGAAACTGTTTTGGGGTGGGTTTTGAAAGTCTTCTGTGTGGATTCCACTGCTTTTGGATATGGTGCCTTACATAAAGCTGTTTGCCTAGATTTCTGTTACAGCAACACCAAACAGTAGTGAAAGTGAAAATCAGTGGCTGTGCTGGTGTGGGAACGAGTTTCCTCTACAGCAAAGTTGTGCTTAGTTCCCCCATGTCTCGTTATGACAAACCTAGCTTGGGTGTGAGGTTTTTCCCCAATAATTCACCATTCATTATAGCAATGCCTAGTAAGAACTAGCTTTTGATATCTCTGATATTAAAAAAAAAAATTAAAAAAAATCCAACCCCAAACCTTTTGAGTAGTTACAGATCCTGTTTAAGATGGAATCTGAGCAAAGTGCCTCCCCACACACACAGAGCAGAAGAACAGTGTGCAGTGCTCAGAGGAAGCCAGACCTAGAGAGTGGTAAAGTAGGTTCTAGCCAATGTAGTATGTAAACTATGTTTAAAGTTTTAAAGGCAGTGCCTCTCCTTTTAAGTCTTGCTCCCTTTACTGGCTCAACCAGTGTATTTCAGAACAGATTGTCTGAGAGAAGTGGAAATGTGCAGTCTTTGGGTTGTTTGAAGCCCTTCAGTTTTGGGTCGTATGCTGTGAGCTAAAGTTTGGGAGAGAATGCTGAGGGTGACTGTCATGCAGTGCCGGGTATTTAAATCTCACCCTGAATAAACTATTAAATACTATGAGAACTTCAAGTAGGAGGATTTGTACTTAAACCAGTCCATGACCTGTATGCTGATTTATATATTCTGATACTAGTCTCTGTGCTTTTCTATGTCACCTGAATCACAAAGTGGTTGTCAAGTTGCTTTCCAACTAGATGAAGGTGACATTTTAAGTTAATCTATAGGAAGCCATTAATCACAGACCCCTGTTTACTGCGATTATGCTTATGTCAGTCTGTTAAATAGATACAGGTAATTTTGACGATGGTGTATGCTCATCACTACCAAGTTTTACAGTATGGACTGTCATGTGGAATTCCATATTATAGCAGCATCCTATAAATCCCCTTCTACTTTGGTTCCTTTGCTGTGGAAAAATTCAATTACTACTCTTTCTATATATGTTTCATGTAGTGAAAACTTAAGTTGTAGTGAAAGCACAAAAATGAGACTGGCCATCTTATTGTTCTTAAAAAACAAAAGAGAGTTGGAGCAGAGATGGAAACAGTTGTCTTTCTTCCATACAAGTGCAGGGAACATACATAGGCTAAACAGTTGATGATGGAGTTGGCTTCTTCTGCAGCGATATGTTAACTATTTTCTTTGGCTGCATTTAGGCTGAGTGCCATCCGGGGCAGTGGCTGTCCATCAAATGATTGTGGGCACAATGATGCTTGTCAGAGTAGCCTCCATGCTTAGCTTGAATCAAGCAATTTGATCCAGCTCTTTTCAGTCTGGCCTTTGGCCCATGATTGAATACTGAGCTTTAACCAAACAACTGCGTATCGTAACCGTGTTTCAAGGCATGAGAGGGTGGCCAGGGCAGAACAGAAGGTAGAGATTTCAGACTGGCTAAAAACAGTTATTTACTTTCTTTGTTCTAATGAAAACTTCTCATGAAGCTTTGTTATAAATGACAGCATTAAGGCTTCCTAAAACAGTCATTATGGAATACAATGGGGAGGTGAAATCAAACTCTGAATTTGTAAAATACAGTAATAAAAAGACACACATCCCTAACCAGACTGCTAGAGCAGACTCCGTTCTCTGTTGCTGTTGTGCACACTCACACCGTAAAAAGTTAGATTGGGGTTTTTTTGTTTTGTGTTCTTATAAAAACCTCACATCTTGTATAAACTGCTCAAAAGCTTGTTGAACAATTTCAGTGCTTTTCATGAAAAAATGAAATCTGGCTTGCACAGTGTGATTGGCAGTGGAGCGTCCATTTAGGACAGAAAGCAAAGCGGTGGGAGTGCTGTAACGCCAGTGCTGATGGACAGGTCAGTGCAGAGGGATTCCATAGAAGGGCAGGGATCCTCCTACTTGTTGAGTAATCCATTTTGTAAGCTTGGGCCTGGCTAAGAAAAATACTTCCAACCTTTGTTCCAGCCCTGATCTACCTCTCATTTACCGTGGAGTGAGAGTGTGTGCAGGAGCGCTAGCGCATCGCGGCTGGTACGGTTTGTGTGCTTACCTGAATGCGTCAGGTCGCTGGGCTGCTGGCAAGTATGCAAATCCCAGGTAACTCTTAAGGATGTAACTCAGCTGCAGCCTCAAGGTGGGGTGGAGTCTCTTGCATTTGAGTAAATAAGTGCAGCTGTAGAGCACTACAGGATTTTGTCGACACAAATCAGCTTTGCTCACAGTTGCATGATGAGAAGCAGCAGTAGTGCATCAGTTGATTTTTTTGGGGTTTTTTGAGAGGCAAGAATCGGAAGCTGGATCAGCTATTTCTTTCTTTTTCTTTGGGTTAGTACTTATTAACTAGTTGGGAAAGAGGATCTTAAAAATAACCTAGATTATTAACATTATACACTGAATTTAAAACCTCAGAACTTGTTAAAATTACGTGTATTGAGTTCATGTATGTAGTTCATTCTGAGCCCATTAATCTTCAGTGTGCATTCGTGTGCAACAAATTCTTAAGTAACTCGTCAATTAAATAAACTTTTGGCCCAACAAAATCACCCGTTTGTACAGCAGAAATCTATTAGTCATTCTGTGTTTAAGCTAGAGTTAGCTTGAACTGTGGCCAAATGTATCATTTTCTCTCCAAGTCTAGATTCCAGCTCTGAATTACTAATAGTTTGTGGCTTTGAAACGTTGCCAGATGTTAGCACTTAGAAGAGAAGCTCCTGTCAGTGTAAATTAAAACAGAAGATTCTCCTCTTTTCTGCCATGTAAGTTCGAAGTTTTGTTTTCTAAGAACGAAGCAGTGGCGTTTTCTTCTTCTTAGAACTTAAAGCAACTAACAGCTTTCCTAACTTCACTGCTAAACGCGTGTCCTGGGACAGAAATACCCATGTGCATTAGGTAGCTAATGCATAGCTCGTGTATAAGCTGTTGTAGCTAATGCAGGTATTAAATGACAACTCACAAGATCACCTAGGAGGAAGGCACCGTAAAGGTGACAGATCTGTCCTTCTATAAATGATCATGAAATAACAGACAAAGCAGGGTGAATAATTACGTAACAGCAAACCTTCAGAGGAAAACAAAGGAAGTCTTGAACAAACCTGAGTGTATTTTTACACTTGAGTAGCTTTACCAACCTAACTGAAGAGAACTGCACTGAATTTATGTAGAACAGCAACACAAAGGCGTGCCTGTGAAGTACCAATATTTGGATCCCTTGTGGGTTTTCATTCCTGTATTACTACGTCTTTGTGTTAGTTGTTCCAAACAACTTGTGGTCTTTTCCTAAACAGGAATCATGCTTACAGAGATTTAATATGGCAATTATTTACCCTTGTGGTGCAGACTGAAGGAGATATTTGATACTCCATTTACTGTAAAACACGAATGGTGGTGTCTTATCACACCGGGCTGTTAATTCTGAGCTGATAAATAACAGTATCTTGACAGTAGGTCCTATATGAAATTTTGAGTCCCCTTAATCTTTTTGGTGGGAAAGTTTAATTACAAGGAAAGGGGGGGTGGGAACGTGGTGGATGCTTCTGGAAGTTCTGTCATAGCCATCTATCTCAGCCCAATTAGAGTTCAGCTCATTTTCAGAATGCATCTTTTCTAGAGCAGTAGAGCTAGAGCTGCTTCAGTTAGTTAGTGGTCCACTGCAACTTTTAAGCCAATAAATACATTAACAGTAGAAAACTCAGGTAATTACTCTTCAGGATTGTGTTGCATTGAACATACCAAGGTGAACATATCTTCAGTCACACACATACACACACACACACGCAGACTTGGTATTTGCTGGTATTTCTTTATAGCCGCTATGCACTATGCTTGTCACAGTCCAAACAGAGCTTCATTACCGCGTAGGTTCAGCTGGTAATAGAAGTTACTCATCCACGTGGGTCGTGGAAGGCTGGAGGTCCTTTGCAGGAAGACTCAAATGATGTGACACTCTATAAGCAGCTTGAGCTGGCTTTTAGAAGACTGCAGTGCAAACCAATGCCTAACGTGTTGCCATTCCAGCATAGAAGAGCTACCACGTTTAACTTACTTTCCTACATATTGAATGTTATCATAAATTAATTGTCCCCTGCCGTATTATCTGCGTTTTCCAGGTTGACTCACTTCACTTGACATTTTATTTATGTTGTCTTACTGCTTGTCCTTTCCCTAGTGTGACGATGGATCCACTTACTGAAAGAAGAAATAAATTATTTTTACCTGTTAATTTTTCTTTGAAGAAGTGTGCTTCCTAATCCAGGCTTCCCTGGAAGACTTACAAAGTAAGAAGGATATGACTTTAAAATCCCCAACGGTTGGGGTTGGGGTTTTTTGTTTGTTTGTTTGTTAAATTAACCTAAACTGTAGTTTCTCTCTTTCATGTAAATTTTCCTTTTGGAGTATTTCTTTTTGGAGAAAAGACTTCCGAGACTCCATCAGCTGCTTTCTCTTGGACAGTCCCAGACAGACCATTTTGACACTGCTTTTCTTTCTCAGTAAAACATAAGAACACTTACCTATTTGTGATAACAATATTGGACATGCTGCTTCAGAGAAAAGACATTAGGTGTATCATTCCTTTTAAGCGACTCTGTCTTGTCTTTGGTTGCATCAGTTATCTCTAGGAAAAAATTGTTTTTGTTTTTGTTTTTTTTTTAGAGCTATGTTGTGGTACACCTTTAGCAAAATGAAGTTCTTGAGTGTAAACTGGTGAAATATTGTTTTACAGGTTACATGTCTTGCCTGTGACAATAAATCAAATACTGTAGAACCTTTCTGGGACCTGTCCCTGGAGTTTCCTGAGCGGTATCACTGCAATGGCAAGGAGATGGCGTCTCAGTATCCATGTCTGCTGACAGAAATGCTGGCCAAGTTTACAGAAACTGAAGCTTTGGAAGGAAAGATATATGCATGTGATCAGTGCAACAGTGAGTAAAGGCAGTATGTACTCATGCATACGTTCTCTGTGTAAAATATAAAGTAAACTGACAGTGAAAGTATAAAAGGAAAATGCTAAAAGTCTTAAAGGATCTTGCAAACGAAGTCCTTCTTATGTCCTGGTGTGATCACTTGACAGCTATTACTCATTACCTAGAAGATGGAATTGTTCAAAGGATGTGTTAAAGTGTGATGCTTCTCTAAGATAAAGTCTGATCACACACTAATGGGGATTCTGATACTCCCAGCTTCTTTAATTAAGGTGACTAACCTAAGTGACCGCAAGTATTTTCTACTTACATCATAAAGTAATCCTTGCAAAGTGGCTCCCGAGCATGTCCTTTTTAAGGAAGCACATACAGTAGCTACTTAGGTCCACCACACAAATCTGGTGGATAAATCTTAGACTGAAATACAAGGCTGTTACTGAGATTTGTATTGTGTAACTGTGTGTTTGGCCTCAGCAAAACGAAGGAAGTTTTCGTCTAAACCAGTTATACTCACAGAAGCTCAGAAGCAGCTTATGGTGTGTCGACTACCTCAGGTTCTCAGATTACACCTGAAACGGTTTAGGTAAGTAGTACCACAACAAACGGTGCTGCAAACTGACCAGTTCAGTCCTGCTCTTCCGTTGTTTGGGATCCGTGTTTTTCAGCATCAGTTTCATTTCCGTTTACTAGTATGATGAGAAATAGTTATTACAAACTTCTTTTTCTTGTTTAATTTAAACATCCGTAAGCTATGCTGTAAGCAGAGAATTGACCTTTTGGATTCCAACTACTTGCTGCTTTAATACCAGAATGATTTCATCCTTCTTTTCAGTCAAAACCTACTCGCCTTGTTGTGAACTCTGCTGGTAAAAATTAATCTTGTGTTATCTTCAGGTAGAGTCAATGCTCGTATTCACTAATGTACAAACCGAGATTGTATTCAGTGGAAGCCTCACCTACCTCCCCATAGCCAAATACACCAGTGCACTAGCCTGACAGTGAGGAAGTGGGGACTGCATCTCTGAGCCCTCAGCCCACGTGTTAGTCCGTGACCTGTCCTGAGTACAAAGGAAACTGAAAATGAGATCGAATAAAGGAGAAATACCATTGAGATACAATATGTGTGAATTACTTCCCACTGACCATTACACAGATCTTAAGATGGCTATTTCAGAATATGAGAACAGCGGCTACCGTAGACACATTTTAAAAGGCCTTGAAATAGAGAAGTGAAAGAGGAAACCTAGGAAGAAAGCGCGCAAATTAGCATTTGTTTTGTGCACAGAGACAACAGTGAAGATAGCATTTGTTGCGTTAAAACATAATTCACAACGCTGTGTTCTTTCTTTGAAAAAAAAAGTTAGTTTTCATTTGACTTAACGTTCCAGGTGGTCAGGACGCAATCATCGTGAGAAGATTGGCGTACATGTTAATTTTGATCAAATGCTGAACATGGAGCCTTACTGCTGCAGAGAATCCCTCAAGTCCCTCCTGCCCGACTGCTTTATCTACGACTTGTCTGCTGTGGTGATGCATCACGGGAAGGGCTTTGGCTCAGGGCACTACACTGCCTACTGCTACAATTCAGAAGGAGGTAGGAACCACCGGTGAAATCAGGAGTGTGGGAGAAGGGGGTGTTGGTCCTTCTAAACGGGTGAGCTTAATGTCTTTTCTCAAAAGCAGAGAGGACTCACTGCAGCTGAACTGCCTGGAATGGGGATTGCAGTTCTGTAGACCAAAACAATTCACTTTGTGTGCTGGTTTGTGGAACGTGTTCTGGCTATAAACTCTCCTGTAAATGTGAGGAAGCTAGGCTGGGCTTTTAAAACATAGAGGCAGATATGCTAGATTAACTGAAACAGCACAACTCGTTAAATGGTACTGAACGCTAATTAATTATTAAATGTAATGCAGTTCTGTCACATCAGTGTCCTGACGGACTTGTTTTGGTGTATTTCTTCACTGCAGGGTTTTGGGTACACTGCAATGATTCGAAACTCAACATGTGCACTATGGAAGAAGTATGCAAGGCTCAAGCCTACATTTTGTTTTACAGCCAACGACTTACTCAGGCAAGTGGACGTGGTAAAATACCGTGTCCCGGCACAGCTGACAGCCAGCAGCACACAGAGTTAGCTGACTGTTCCGTGGGGAGCAGCAGCAGCTAATCCAAAGCCAGTTAACTGCGTGTATGGTAAAAGTTCAAACTGTGTTTTGACATATGTCAAAACTATATATTTTTAAATGAAATGAAAGTACAGCATTGTACTTTTTTTACTTTGTGTACAATGTTTATATACTTTTGTATTAGTTAAAGTACTCTTCACAATTGTTAGTGAAAGTTTTTATTGACAGTAAGTAACTTTCTAAGTACCTAGAGTTTCAATACAGCTATTTTTTTTAAGAAAAAAGATTGCTATTTGCATTTAACTCTTACCTCAGGCTGTTTTTTTAAGCTGGTTTTGTATTTTGATAATCTTTTTGAATTGGTTTAGAAAAATGACTTTCAACCAATGACAACCGATGTTTCTCTGGTTAATTTTCTATATATGCTTATGTACATTTTATAGTATAGTTCTAATGAGATCATGATTCTTACTGTCTGCAGGAATTGCTACTAGGGCTTAGAGTATTAACATTCACCAGCAAGGAATGTTTTACGTGTCAAACAGTAACTGAACTTTATGTAGGAAACTTTCTGTATGTTCTTCATGACTAAAGTGAGATTATTTTGCAAGCTTCAAGGGAACTACACTAAAGAGAAGAGACATTGATAGAATTCCTTAAAATCTGAAATCGGGGAAATAGAGCATGTACTTATTTTCATGTAAGTGTGTAAGAGAAGCGTTTAATAGCACAAAAATTTGTCTTTACCAAGACTTACATGTTTTAGCCTTAACAAGCCTGACAACTCAAGTGCCAAATTCAGAGTACTGATTTTGACAACCGGGGGCTTTTTATTCCAATAACTCAAAAAGCTTTCTTAAAAAAACAACAAAACCACACTCCCCCACCCTGCTGCCATTGCTACAAGAATGTTAGCACCCTCTTTCTTGCACTGGACAAGCTTACTTTAAATCATAGCTAGCGTTGTCCATTTCAGTACTCTCTAACGCAAACCACTGAAAAGAAGCTGTAAAATTTGTATGAAAGTTTTCAGTCTGACTGGTTTCATTAGCTACATCTGCTGTACCTGCTCTGCGGTCCTACCACTAGCATTAACACAACTGTGCCTTGAGGAGAATCTAACAAGCAGGAATTATCAGTCTTTCTCCACATGCAGTAGTTAATGCCAAGTAAATTTTAATTGTGAAGTTCTTTTGCATAAGTCCTATGCAAATTGTTACCTCATCTTCTGCAAAGTTTATACCTCAATAAAATGCCTTGATGTGGACAGAAAACCGCATGTGTACTGGAATTAGTTCCTACATTATCATGACAACTTTTTTTTTTAAATTATTTTTAAACTGTCTAACAGGGGTTAAGGCATTAACTAGAAGCCTGCTTTGGCCCTCTGACACTGATTTAGCAGCTGGTTTTATTCATGACTTTTCCTGCCCTTTCTGTCTACGTTTCTGAAAGATGCTGTATTACAGCGAGCACGTAGTGGCCTCAGATCTCAAACTTGCTTCGCCTTGTGCTCATCCTAATTCAATGTGCAAAAGCGGTTTAGTCTTTCGGTTGGTTGGTTTGTTGTTTTGGTTTTTGGTGGTTTTTTTTTTTTAAGCCAGGGGCCACCTGCTGAAGTGAGCTGAGCCACCAAATCTACTTGCGCTGGCTGGGCAGGCAGTCTTTCAAATACTTCCCTTCTCTGCTCTCTTTTCTGGGGAGGAGATGGAGGTAGTTTAAACACTTCTTTCTAGTGATAGGTAGTTCAGGGGAATAGAAAGGAAGGGGAAAGGGTTGCGCTAAGACCTTTTCATCCCCAAAGAGCATCTCAACCAGACATGTAGGGGTCCTAAGAGACCCAAGCATTAATGGAAGATTCTGTCTGGGGACTTGTAGAGAGTGAGGGCAGGGGGGGAGAGCTTGTTAGTTGCAAGCACCAGTATCAAGTGCGTACTCAAGTCCCTCAGAAAGAATCTTTTTCCTGCCATTTTTTCTAGGAGGATTGCCTAGGCTGTGCTTCTTATGGCTGTTCCCCTGCGTTTCCTCTCGCTGCAGCAAGCGTTACTAAGTCTCAGGGCTTTCTCTGAAAGACATCGTTAGCTCAGCAATGGCAAATTCTGCATTCTTCCCCTTGGTGCTCTCTTGGGTAGAGCAAGAGAAGGGAAGGAGAAAGGAAGGACACGCTCAAACATAGAGTTCTAGTCCTAGTCCAAGCAGCAGGGAGGCTAGAGACGATTACTGCAGTCCAGCATAAGGGCGAGCTAGTTCAGGTGCGCTTCGCAACAGCTTCTGCTTTGGTTCTTAATGCTTGCTGGTTCACGGAGCTAGCTCTGCACCCTTGAGCTAGAGTAGGGCTTAAGCCCAGCATGACTCTGTGTGCTTACACTCTGCCTGGCCTCGCTCTGGTAAGTATCTAAGATGATAGAGCTCTAGCTGGGGCGATGGAAGCGGCGCGTTCAGGACCAGCGACAAAACCAGCAGAAACACCATAGCGGGGGCAGAAGCCTACATCGTGCTGTAGGCCGTCGGAAACCAGACAGCTGTTTGGTCAAAGGCCACCTGTCGGCTGGGCAGCAGCTGTTCCTGGGGTCAGGGTTCCACAACTCCCCGGCTGGAGTTCTGCAGGGCAGTAAAGCTAAGGCTCCAGCACCTGTATTGGCAACAGGGGTATAGTTAGGTAGAGTGGTCTGTTGTATCAGAAGAGACCCAGGTGAACACCCCTGATGGTTCCAGAGCACCCTCCTTTAATCAGCAGGGAGCTGCTCTGGTAGCTAAGTTACTTGCAGGAAAGACTAATCACATGAAAGCATCTCAAGAAGCCTTAACCCTCCACTCTCCACCTTCATTTAACCTGCATTCAGAAAAAACGGGGTCAGGTTGAAGGTTCAGCTCCACCACTACCTTGCTAAGAGCTGTCTCAAGCCCAGATACCTGCCACCTGACTACCTAGAGCTCCGCACGCTGCCCTTGCTGAATTTCCTCTCATTGCACAAGCACTCGGTGCTGCTGGGAACTCGGTAAAGCCATTGTGCAGCAACTACTGTTAATGAAAGGTGCAGGACCCCCTCATACACGCTTTGTAAGCAGTAATTTGGCAGCCAGCAGTAGAGTGAACATGCACACCGCCTCTCACTCAAGACAGAAACACTTCCAGTAATTATAATTTCACATGCACTTTTGATATCTCTCGCTGACTCCCTTCCTCAGTCCTTCAGGAGAGAGGCTGGATTTATTTTTTTCCCCAGATACCCAAGGGAAGTGGTACTGGGCCTTCACTAGTCACCTG